TAGCCAGGGGCTGAGAATGTGACTCTCGTCCATCCCAAAACTTGCTGCCAATCAATATGGGCTCCCATATCACCACAACGTTATGAGGAGTGCAGATGGCCCTGAGCATAATTGGGGCTGAGTCTCACTCTGCCCAGGGCAGCCATTATCCTCAGGGCCCCCTGAAGATCCCCATTCTCTCTTCATGCCTTTGCTGGGTAGTTTCAATCGTGAACTTGACACACCTAGTTGGAAGGAACCTAATTGAGGAATTTCCTCCGATAGATTGGCCTGTGTTCATGTTTATAGAACAATTTTTCTTAATTATTGAATGATATGGGAGGGACCAGGACACTGTGGGTGGGGTCACCCCAGGGCAGGTGTTCCTGTGTTGTATATGATAGATTGGCCTGTGTTCATGTTTACAGAACAATTTTTCTTGATTATTGAATGATATGGGAGGGCCCAGGACACTGTGGGTGGGGTCACCCCAGGGCAGGTGTTCCTGTGTTGTATAAGGAAGCAGGCTGAGCTCAGGCCAAGGGAGCGCACCAGTAAAGAGAGTACCTCCATGATCTGTGCTCCAGGGTCCTTTCCGGAGTGCCTGCCTTGGCATCCTTTGATGACGGATGGTGAGCTGTAAGGCAGGTTAACCCTTTCCTCCCCAGGCTGGTTCTGGCGGTCCTTTCCGAGTGCCTGCCTTGGCATCCTTTGATTTTTGATGAGGGATGGTGAGCTGTAAGGCAGGTTAACCCTTTCCTCCCCAGGCTGGTTCTGGTCAGTGTTTCAACACAGCATTGGAAAGTTCACTAGGTAAGACATTGGTATCAAGAGTTGAATCTTGAGGTGATGGACCTGATTGCTATCTGTCTGAAGATTGTGGATGATTTCTGTGCTTTGGACTGGAAAAATGCTTGGAAATCAGAGAGGTGTTTTGTAGGAAATTGGAAGATAATGCTGATGGAGGTGCATACAATGGAGGCTCTATCAGGGATATGTGTGATATATTTTGAGTTATGCTTTTTGGAAGTGAAAAATTTTGTGCTTTCCTGAGATAATCCACACTGACCAGCTGAGTCTGAAAATCACCCACGAGTAAAAGGAGATCCACGTCATTCAGTGAAATCTGGAAGTATTCCTGATGGTCAGCACACAGACACTGTAGATCAGAGGGTTCCAAGGCTGCATATCATCCTGGCAGCAGAACGTGGTAATGTATAAGATGCTCTCAGGTGGTACTGGTGTTGAAGATGTGAAAGGTCATGGAGAGAATCTTTGCAACCAGAGAGGCCATTGGTGAAGGTGCAGGCTCAGTGCAATGAGGACCCCAGAATATTGGCAATATCAGGACAATGGTATCTACACCAAGGGCAAAATCAGAGAAGTGGAGCTGCCCATAACCTATGGAGCCCAGAAGATTGTGATTGAATCCCAGATGTTCAACTTTCAGCTACGTCGCTAGACCTTGGTGTGGCTTAAAGTTATTCCGTTTTGAAATAAGTCAGTATGTAACTTATTTTGGATTTTACAGGAGTCCACAATTGATAGACTTTAAATATTCTTAGAAATAAATATTAAGCTTTAAGAGTGTTTGAATTTTTCCCTTAAGCAAAGGATTACTAAAGTTTTATTTATACACATATGGTCACAATTTTTCCTTAAAAATATTGCTGGGAAATATACATAAGGCCACTTGTAAATGTACATCATGTTAGTATTATAATGTCTTATGTTCAGAAAAAAACATGTTATCATGCAGGTTTGCTCTTATTGGGAGTAGGCTAATCAAAAATACAGTCCTCTTCTGTACAAAAATGTCACATCACATTTAAGGATGGGAAAAACATTGGCCTCCATGGTAACCAAATCCCAGTCCAGTACTTTCTATTATGCATAATACCCTGTCTTCACTTGAAACTGATCCAAATCCTAGCCTGTCCATATTATTAATAGAGTTAAAAACTATGTTATAATAAAAGTTTTCATCAATAATCAAAAATAGCTTGTTCATACTTCTGGAACCACGTAAATATAAAAAAAATTAACAACCACTCTCGATTTGTTGAAATGAGGTTATATTAAAAAATACTATATTGCCTGGCTAAAGAGCACAGAAATGTGAATGTACACTAAAATGCAAATATTTCCCAAAGAGATAATACAAATTCCATTTATAGCATAAAGATGTATAAACGTACGCCTGTATACTCAAGGAAGAGTGTCACTATTAAGTTAGCAAGGCTTGTAAGTTTACCCTTTGAAAGTGTTTGAATTTTTAAGGGACGTGAGAATTCTAAAGTTGTCTGTTTAATACTATAATACTGATATTGACGTGAGATCATGGGGATAAGAAATGGAAAGGTAGTGGCTGAAAGTTCACAATGGGTTCATTGTCCTGGAGAGCTTCAGCTGTCAGCTTGACGCATCTAGTTGGAGGTAACCTCAGTTGAGGAATTCCTCCATTGGACCGGCCTGTGGCCTTGCCTGTCTGTGGGAAATTTTCTTGATTATTGAGTGATATGGCAGGGCTCAGCCCACTGTGGGTGGTGCCACCCCTGGGTAGATGCTCCTGTGTTATATCAGGAAGAGGCTAAGCACAGGCTAGGGGAACCAGCCAGTAAGCAGAATACCTCCATTGTCTGTGCTCCAGGTTCCTTTCCAGAATTCCTTCTTTGACTTTCTTTGATGATGGACTCTGTGATTTAAACCAAATAACCCATCTCTTAAAGTTGGTTTTGGTCAATGTTTTACCACAGCAATAGAAAACTAAGTAGGACAATGCCCAAGTTTACAGCCCCAACTCTGACACATTTGGCTTCTGAAATACTTCTCACTAAATGACACCAGAGCATCACATCCTTTGCTGATTACCCATTGGATTCTGGGAAGAAGTACCAATCTACTCCACAGCTCCTTAACCCATCTCCCTCAGATTTTATGGGCTCCTAAACTTATGTCCACATGTAAGAGAGGGAGTAGATCATAACTATGTAGGGAGGGAAAAGTGTATGTATGCCCATATTTGCATGTTTCTACATAGGCAAAAATTCAAGTCTGCATGACCCTCCATTAGTGTGAGTATGTGCATGTCCAATGGTGTGTTCCCCACACTATCTCTCCTGAACATCTTTATGTTCTCATGACTGGTTCTGTCTATTTATGCAGTGTGTGACTTTGACTGAGCCTATGTGGTAACTGCCATGAATGTGCTTGCCTAGGATTATATCAAAGGAGAAGCTTGTGCTGGCTCCAGTGTACATGGTGAACACTGTCTGAAATCATGGAAGGCTTCAATACTTTGCATGTCTTCCATGCACAGAAGCCATGCTAATCTTCTTTGTAGTTTTCTAGTTTTAGTATATGCACTGGCAAAGCAAGAAGTAATCATGTTGTTTTTACACTTATAATGCAGATACGTATGAAAATCATCAAATTGTATAACTCAAAATATACTGTTACATATTTCCAAGTCTCATAGTCGATTTGCATTTGAATTTTCTTCTTTGCACATTCATATTTGTGAGTGACTATGGAAGAAGTGCTGAGTTGTAGAACACCTGCCTAACAGGCCTGAAGCTCTAGTTTTAAAGCCACAAAACCATCTGATGGTGGACACCTGCCACCAGAAAGGATCTTCACAGTTACCAGTGATGGTCTGTGTTTCTCCTTAGTGTACATCACTGTGTCCAGTGAGAGGGACTAAACGTTGTGAGAGAGTCTTCACATTTTCATATCTGTGACTGATGCAGAAAAATAACTACTCACAGACTATTTTTTTCCAGTGTTGTCTCACTGGCCTGTAACTTCTCAACTTGTCTAGGTTGGCTTTCCTGTGGGCTTTGGAGGTCTGCCTCACACTGTCTCCCTAGTTCTGTGGATACTGTGGTATAACATATATTACCACTCCTGATGAAAAAGCACATGGTACTGGCACAAACATATACACAGAGATAATGGAATAAATGAAGAATTCAGATATGAGTACAAAGAACCACACAACTCCAGCTACATGGTCTTTGACAAAAATGCATAAATATATACTGGATAAAAAACAGCATCTTCAAGAACTGACACTGGAAACATGAATTTCAATATGCAGAAAAATGAAGCTAGTTCCCTACCTCACACCTGGCCAAGTATTTAATATAAGACATGCTACCCTAAAATTGCTGGATGTAAAAGTGGGAAGTAAACTTAGGTTTATAGGCACAGGTGCAATCTTTCTGTATAGTAATTTCATAGTATAGGAAATAAGACAATCAATTAGCAAATAGGACCTTATGAAACTAAAAAGCTTCTGAACAGGAAACGAATCTGTCAGTTGCCTGTGGAGGCAGCCAATAGAATGGAAGAAAATCTTTATCACCTATAAATATGACAAAGGATTAGTGTCTAGATAATGTAGAGAACTAAGAAGACTAAACATTAAGAAAGCAAAAACCCCAATTAAAAATGAGCAATGTAACTGAAGAGAAATAAAAATCTATAAAGGAGAATTACTAATGGCAAGAAACACCTAAAGGTGTATTCAACATGCTTTGATATTGGGAGAATGCAAATTAAGAGTATGTAAAGATTCCGTCTTACCCCAGAAAACCACCACCAGGAAAACAAATGGAACTTTTGTGTTGAAAGGGGGACACTTAGGCACTCTTGACAGTGTCCGAATTAGTGCAACCACTTTGGAGAGCAGTCAGGAGGTTTTTCAAGAAAGCTAGAACTAGAATGACCATATGACCCAGCCATACCTCTTGGATAGAGTCCTGGGAGCTCTCAGTTCCTTAGATCCCTGTGCTTCCCACATGATGACAGAGGTAAGTATTGTGGTGATGCTTCCAGGGGCATAGTGAGGGCTCAGTCCCATGGAGCACTGACTACAGACATTTCCCATCAGCTCTATGATGCGAGGACCTCAGGTATCCTCCTCCCTATGGCCCTATTTTCTCACATAGGATGTCTTCTTTGATGGCAGCAGCTGGGAGGATCTGGAGGGACAAAGAGGTGTCATTTGGCAGTGAGACTCAGGAGTCAGGTGGGAATCTGGTGACTGGACATTAGTTACCTCTTCTGAGGACCTCTTTGCCTGGACACTGGCTCCTCAGCTTCTGCAGCTTCATGTGCATCACTGGTTTTCCTCTGGGCTGCAGGAGAGAGAAGAGCCTCAGCCAGGAGGGTGGGAAGTTCCTCCCCCATAGCATGTGAATGTAAGGAAGGAAACTTTATCCCATTTGGGGCAAGTGTGCAAATATTCCAGGAAATGAAAGCTCACAGAATCCCTGAAATTTGTATATGTACTGAGATCACGAGTTTCCAATCTGGGATTCTTCAGAAGTGCTTCTCTGGTGACCTGCCCAAATCTGGTTGGTTTCCCAGGAATTGCTGCCTTGAGCCCCTGTTTGAATGATCCACAGGGGAACCTGTCACCTAATGGGAACCAGGTTACCCACATATTATTTATTCACCGTCTTTCTTGTGCATTCCCTGACACCTAACCACAGGAAGAGAAAGATGAGGAGAAACAGTAGCAGGAGGAAGGCCAGCGAGATGGACATCAGAACCTTCTGGTATCTTTCCAGTCCTGTGGCACAAGTGACAGAGTGAGAACAGTACTGATGACTTCAGCACCTACTGTGTGCCAGGCCCCCGCTGGATCTCTGCATTCACCACCTCCCACCCTCACAATCATACAGCACTAAATCATCTAAACATTCAATCCACCCCATCAAGTTCACCGGGCCTAGGGCCCAGATGGAAAACTTAGAGCTGTGGTCATCCCAGGGGATCTGAGTTCTAGCCTTGTTCTCTCCACCAGAACTGAGTCCCACGTTCTGGATGAAAGGATCCCCAATGCCCTGCCCTGGCCCTGTGACCCACCTCTGCAAATTGTAACATGACTGTGGCAGAGAGTGTGTCCACTTCAGGTTGTGGGTTCCTCCCCTGGAAGGAGAGGTCACAGTCAAAGTCAGCACTAAAAGGGTCTCTGAGGTTAGGGGAAAAGCCATTTTCACTTGGAGAAACTGAGTCCCATGCAGGGGAGGGATTTGTTCAATACAGCATTGCCAGAAGAGTCTACACCCACCCCATAACCACCTCTGGTCCCCCTGAATCCAGCTTCCTACAGTCCCCATTTAACATTCTGGTGACTTGACTCCATGGGGGTGAGTGACTGGCTCTCAGGTCCTCATGGTGGGTTGGAAAGATGGAAGTCGGGACTCCCCACTCTCCACTTTGGCCCAGCTGCTCCTCCCCCAACCTGGGACCAAACACCTGTCTTTGCTTCTGTGTTCCCTCTTGCAGCCCAGTCACCAAGGCTGCTTGGATCTCTTTTGGGGTCTCTGATTTCTGGGCTCCTGGACACACACTTAGCTTACACAGGAACCAGGACTTAGATGAGGTGAGAGTTTTCAGGCAGATCAGTGATGCCACAAAATGAGGACAGAAGCCCCGGACACTCACCAGCTTTTGTGATGGGCCCTGTGTTCAAGGTGCTATTTCCCACAAAGGGTCCTAGGAAAGAGAACAAGAGGAGGGTTAAGGGTAGAAACTGACCATGGATATGTAGTTGCTTTTCACTGTCCCACATCTGCCCTGTGGCCTCTTGGAGAACCTTCTGCTGCCCACATGGAACTTTCTAGATTCCACTAATGGAGATGGGATGGTTATTCCCTGAGGGACTCCCATTGGTGTCTGCAACTCTGAGGGGGGAGTCTTTTGTCTGTGATTTCCTATGACCTCTAATCTCATCTTAGCCAAGGCCTCTCCTGGAGGCAGGATCCCGAGACACCCTTTGAGCTCATGAGGTCAGGGTCCTCCTACATGATACCACAGGCTTCACAGGGGTACTGGGGTAAAACAATAGCTAGGGGGATGAACCTTGAGAACCCTAGCACCTGTAGCTCCCACCAAAGTTTGAGGTCAAAGCTCTGTGTCCCAGTTTGGGACCTCGACCAGAGATGTTGTGGGGATTTGCTGCTCCTTCCGTGATCTGAAATAACATGTTCCTCCGGATCCATGACAGACAAAGCAGGGTCCATTACTCACTTTAGGACACAGTGGACCCAGTCTTCACAGAGAGAGAGAGAGAGAGAGAGAGAGAGAGAGAGAGAGTGTGACAGAGAGCTGCCCTAGAGAGACGGATGGGTGAGGTTCTGTGCTCTTTCTTCTGAGCTGAGACCTTACTAAATCCTGACTCTGAGGACCTGAGACCATCTGGTTTCTCTGATTCTGCACCTACACAGTTCTGCTGTCTTCGCTTACACCACCAAACTTCACAGATATCAATCCCTGGAATTCCCCGGTAGGCCCTGTGGTTTGTGGTTACTTACTGGACCTACTGTGCTCTTGACCTGTGATTTGTATGTCCAAAGTTCACGTGAAAGGGGAATGACAAGTCTGAGGAGAGGCTGAAGTTACCATAGCCCCTGTACCAGATTCCAGTGCAGCCACTCATGGGCCCAGTGGAAATCTGGCCTAAAACTGAGCAGTTCCAAGACTCTGGGAGAGGTCAGTTTCCTCCTCTTTTTACAGAGCAAATCTGCTGTAGCTCATGTTTGAGCAACATTTGAGAATCAGAATCTCTCCAGGGTCCAGGAGAGGTCCTGGTTGGGTCAGTGGCAAGGGCTTCTTTGAAAACCCTGCAGGGAAGATGGACTGGTGGATTAGCATCTTGCCCTTGTCATATTCCTGACCTGCTACAAGGTCTGGATGAAGGGTGGGATACATCCCAGTCCAGGGTATTCCCAGCCCATCATCTCACCAAGGCAGAACAAGGCTGTGAATATGGGGGTCATGTGGTCTCCTCATCCTGGCTGCAGCCTTTTAGATATTTGGGTGCAGTGCCTTGCCCAATGGGCAGATACCAAGATTGTAGCTTTTGGAGACTGCGTCTTCCCTTCTGCCAGGAAGCTGTCTCTCAGCAGACCCACAGAAAGAGGGACTGCCCTCCGCAGGGGATGACCTCCCCTTTCCCTGTGCGGGATTTCACCAGGCTCTAGACTCTGTCTAGAATCAATATCTAGACTCTCCCCTCCTTTCTCTCTCTTGAAGACAGGGCCTCATGAACTACAAGTAAACATGTTTCTCCTCCATCGATCTCCTGCATGCTGGCACTGCAGGCCTGTGCCTGGCTGTCTTCTCTTCTTACAGAAGTGGAACCTCCCTCAAATGTGCCCACATCTGCCTGAACTGTGTTTACCTCAACAAGGGCCAGGACTTAGCTACAATCGACTTGATGCCTTCCACCAGCACCTTCCAGCTGAGAGTGGCTCAAGGTTGTTCTTTCTGTCTCAAAGACTGCCTGCTGGTTCACCTCACTCGTTCACCCAGACTGCCATCACATTGTCACAGGGTCCTTACCACAGCCAGTCCTCTCCACAGC